GGTACAAGTGTCAATTAGAGTACCGTTTTCATCCACAAACTGACGGACAGGCTGAGAGGACTATTCAAACGCTTGAAGATATGTTGTGAGCTTGTGTCCTTGATTTTGGTGGGAATTGGGATGTATACTTACCTTTGATTGAGTTTTCCTACAATAATAGCTATCATACTAGTATCCAGATGGCTCCCTATGAGGCTTTGTATGGACGATGTTGTAGATCACCCATTGGATGGTTTGAGCCGACTGAGGTAGGACTACTTGGCCCCGATCTTGTATATGATGCCTTAGAGAAGGTGACTTTGATTCAACAACGGCTTAAGACCGCTCAGAGCTGACAAAAAAGCTATACCGATGTACATCGACGTAAGTTGGAGTTTAAAGAGGACGATCAAGGGTTCTTAAAGGTATCGCCAATAAAGGGCGTTATGAGATTTGGAAAGAAGGGCAAGCTAAGTCCTAGATTTATTGGTGCATATCGAATCTTGAAAAGGATTGGTGAAGTAGCCTACAAGCTGGAGTTACCTGCATCGCATCGATGACTTTGATTCATCCTGTTTTTCATGTATCGATGCTACGGGGGTATGTTCCCTATCCCGCTCACATCATCTCACCGGAGGTAGTAGAAATAAATGACGGTTTAACTTATGACGAAGAACCGGCTGAGATTCTTGATCGGCATGTCCGTAGGTTGAGGACTAAGGACATAGCTTCACTTAAAGTGTTATGGCGTAATCATGACGTCGAGGAGGCTACTTGGGAGGCCGAGGAAGACATGAAAATCCGATATCCACACTTATTCACGACTTCAGGTATCATTATGTTGAAATTTTGAGTTTAGGGTTTATCATAATTTATTTCTATGGGACAGGTGATTGATTGATTTATCTATTGTACATGGTTGTTAGACTTGTCTTATGGTAATAAATTTTATTAGTGTAATGTCAGGAGAGGCTATGTAATGGTGGTTGGAGATATATGAAGCCATGAAGGCATTTATTGATGTAGTTATGACGAGTAGAGCCATGTAGGGTCTTGTATATTGTACTCTTGTGGATCGCTGTCAGGTTAAAATTTTTGGATAGGCCCATAAATAAAGGAAACTCTGTCGAAATTCTTAGAAATTTAGAGTGTTAGTCAAATTTCGAATCCTTAAAAGTTGAGGAGTAAGGAAAGACATGGAGATTACACTTTTGGGCTTTAATACGACCAAGGATTTACATTCGAGGATGAATTTTTTTTATAAGTAGGAGTGAATGTAAAGCCCCGCAAATTTTTACAATTAATCGGACTAATGTTGAGCTTGGAAATTTTAATCCTTGAAGGATGAATCATGGATTAACCTGCAAACAAAGATGTTAGATTGCAAATGAGTCAAAAAGGGAAGTTAACGTTAATTCCCAAAGCAAAGAATCAAAGTGAAAAGGAAAAGGAGAGGAAGGAAATTTGGTATCAAACGGATTACATTGGCATTGGCAGATCATTGCATCAAGAGGTAGCTACAGGTGATGCTCACCAAGGTTGGTACGACGCATCCCCATAGCGTCCAATTTTTTCTAGCTGCCACAATGTTGGCAGTGAACTCCAGTCATAGCGCCAACCGTGGCATCCGCACAAAATGAAGGAACTGGGACGCACGCTATGAAGCATGCGACGCGTCCCATGCGGCATCCGAGTTCTGAATCCTTGTAAAGGCAATTACGGGAGGAGATTGGTCTTTTATTTTGGGCATTGTCTTTGAAGGCTTAGGAAGAGAAAGGAGTCTCATGCCATTAATGCATCTTCAAGTTAAGAACTAAATGCCTTTCATTTGTAGATTTGGTTCCTTTATTATATCTCTTAACCCTCCAACATCATGGGATTCATAGATTTCTGAAGCAAATCTCAAGAACACTTCAAGAAACTCAAACCTTGAAAATTCTATGGTTTGACAAAGAGGTAATCCCTTCAATCCAAACTTAAGTATTGTACTCCATGGACGTAGTAGAGTGTATTTATGAAGGTAGATTGTATTTAAACATATATTCATGAAACCCTAGAAGAGTTGGTTGGTAGGGATGATTAATAATGTTGGGTCTTGTTTGAACGATGTTATTTTGAGCTTCTAGTGGAACGACTAGATCCCATACTATGTTTAATAAAGGATTTGGAGTTAAAATTCAAAGGTAGACCTTCAAATGATGAAATATGGAGTTTTGCTAATCTTATGAAATTGGATTAAAGTGTTAAACACTCAGTTGGCTTAGTTGGTATTGTTGTGACGCATTATTGAATCATGTGAGTTCGTATACGTAGATTGGATTCGTTGGCATTATTGGAACATTTGGGGTAAGGTTGGAAGTATTTTGAGGTACGTTGAAACTTATTACCCTCGGATCTTTTCTCCAAACTCATATCGAAACACGATTAAATTGAGTTTTTCAAATTTGAGTCCTAGCTTGTGGGGACGAGCGAGTTGGGATTGTACCATTTCTTGCATCATAAAAGATTTAAATGCTATGAATATTGTTTTCTTGAAATGTTAGTCTAATTTTAAACCTAAATAAATGATGAGTAGCACTTGTAGTATTTTTGGAATGGAAATATATGAGTTGTGAAATATCGGGGATTTAACTATTATCAAATAGTTGATTTGGCTATGAATATCGTTATTGATAAATGTAAAGGTTTTGGGAGTTACTTAAGTTCATCGAGATTGACTTTGAATACTTTTCCTCATTAGGTCATGAAACTACACGTGCCGGTGTAGGCGTAGAACCTACCTTATGGTTGGGAACTACGTCAGAGTACTTCCCATTAGGGGGTACTATTGTGCTACTTATTTAGTACGGCTGAGTCAATTCGTGTGACACAACGATGAGACGACCTGAGCAAATAGGGTATATGATACTTGCCGCTCGGTACATAACCTAGTTGACCTTCTTTCATGTCGGTGATGGAATAGTGCTCCTGGTAAATAAAAAATCTAACATGATTTGCAAAGATTAATGCTAAAGGAAGACTTTGAAATATGTTTTACCATATTAATTTATTTTATTTTCTAAATTGTTAATTGATATGAAGACTTCTTTCTTATATCAATTGTTATTGCATATCTTATATCTTCTTAAGTCTTGTCCTATTTTCTTTTGGGGAACACTTCATGATTCGTACTAGGCATGTGGAGCTTAGGCCTTTCGGCCACATTTCTATTTCTGTTTTCAGGGACTGGACCTGAGCAGCTTGGACCGCGTGGATAGGGCAGCTCTACATTTTCTGTTGACACTTTTGGTGAGACTCCACCCTCACACCCGTGGAGGACCTTATTATATTATTATTTTTTTGAGCCACCGGGTTATGCCTTGGTTGGCTACTTCATTCCGTGTCATAGAGATTCCATAGAAAATAGTAGTATTCATTTTTGGGTTGTACCTATGGTTACTCATATGACATGCATGAATGAAACTTTCTTTTATCTTTATGAAGTTTTCTTTCGAAGGAAAATATTTGCTTAAAAATATTTTTCACGTTTTGGTTTATATCTTAAAATAATTGTATTTGAAGAGGCTTTCGCATCCTCCTATATGCATATAGATGAATATGAATCTATGGGATGGTTCACTCGGGTCGGGTGGAATACCGAGTGTCGATCACGTAGTTTTAGGGCGTGATAGGGAAAAATTATTGGAATTCTATGAAAGATCGTCAAACTCTTTCTCGCTATACCCAGCCGATTCTCAAGGACCAATGGTATAGCATTACATTTTAACAGACAGATGAAAGCTAGGTCTCTACTCATTCTTCATGAGGAAGAAAGGCCTTGTTGTCATCTAGATCGACGTAAAGCCTTCACCTTTACTAGGGATCTCAGATTTACTTTACTTTCACCGTTAAACAAGTCTTAGATTCGATTCCTTGGAATAGAAAACATATTGGCAGGGAGCACTTTATCTCTTTAGTGAGCATATTCATTGCAACGATGGATTAGTTGAACCAGTAAATTTCAAATATAAGATAATTTAACGAAAAAAATGGGAGGCATCCCATTGAAATAGGGAAAGCGGAGCCATCATACTAAAACGTGAAAATAATATGGGCTAGCCAGTTTTCGGACTGGTAATTGAAAAATAGTAAGCTTTTGCAAAGTCATTGAAAAATAGCTACTATTTTGCTGAAAGACGGAAAGTTCCAATATTATGGAGCTCCTGCGCGCGTATAAACTTATAGCATATTATGTTGGAACTCCAGCACACAGAAAGTTTAAGCATAATATACAGGATTATGGAGTTCCGTGTATAAACTTCCAGCATATTATGTTGGAACTCCAACACATTATGAAATTCCAGCACATTATTCTGGAATCTCATATGTAAAAAATTCGAACTCCAGCATATTATGCGGGAATTTTCCCAACTTTCAAGGGTATTTTTATTTAGATTTTATCTTTACATGAAAAAATGGCTAATTTTCGATTACTTTCGGAACAGTGACTATTTTTCAATTACATCTTATAGATCTGGCTATATCTGATTTTTATCCTACTAAAAGTTATGTACTCTTTCTTGCTCAGTATAACTACCGAACCATTGGGCTTTTTAACTTCAGTCAATCAGCCTTAATTATGAGGGTTTTTCGTATGACACTCTTAAATCTCTTGCTTAAGATCATTCAGAAAGTTTAGGACTCCGAGGACGACTTCCATACAATTCTTGCAAGAGTCATAGAAGTGTCAATACAATGACATATATAAACAAATCTTAATACAACCACCGAAGCACAGCTCATAATGGCAAAACATGCAAATAATATATTAAATCATTAATCAATTCTCACATATTAATTTCTTACATGTTTATAGTTGTTCCAACCCGTTATTAGCTAAAAGACTATTCATTTGTAAAACTAAAGTACTTCTAGTCAAACTATATTTGTAGTGTAAATAAGTGTACATAACTTAGATCTATAAATATTCTATTTTTCTACTTTAAATGCAACAAATAAAGCTAGCTATTAGACACCATAACTACATTAAATTTTAGTACAACTCTAGTTAGCAATGTATGAAATTGTAAGAGATGAAAGAATGGTGGTGACTATCATATACCTTTTAACAATGTCCATCTATAATCGTGAATGTTCGTGTATAAATTAATATAATTTGGGTTGAGAGAGAGAAGGAAAAAAAAAAGAATTGAACCATTGTCAATAATGACAATCAATTAGTTGTGGGGTGGTGGACAAAACAAGAGCTGTTTGTTCCTGTTGTTGCTGTTGCTGTTGCTTTTGTGTTTGTTCTTGATCTTGTTGTTGCTCTATAGCAACTGGATATTTTGGTGGATACTGAAAATTTCTTGATTGATGATTTTGATCTTCTGGAGCTGGAAGATTTAGATCTAATGACAACCCAACATTTCTTGGTTTCTTCAAATTATTTGGAGATTCTTCAAAGGAAATTGCTTGAGTATTTAATGGACTTAAACACAAAGATGTATTAGCACCCCCTCTATGTCGTCTCATGTGACCACCTAAAGCTTGTCCTGAGTTAAATTCTGCACCACAATATGAACATGTGTGGATTCTAGGAGAAGATTTGTTATTTGGACTTTCCATATTAAAATTGCTGAATTGGGTTGAAAGAGGAGATAATGGTGACAATTTGTTGATGTTGTTGTTATGTTTGTAATTTGTTGGTGGTGAGGGCTCATCTTGGTCTGAAAAATGGAAGAATGTTTTTTTTGGTTCTATGGTTAGTGGTTTTGGTTTTTTATGACTTGCTCTATGTCCACCTAAGGCTTGGAATGATGGGAATGTACGATTACATGTCTTGCATTCGTACACATATGTCCCCGCCTTGGCACCATTTCCAATGTTGGTCGTTTCGACATACCTTTTGCTGTTGAATTTGCTTTGGTACAACCCCATGTCATCATTGAAAAGATTGAACAATTTGCTAGGTGGAGACTCTATAAATCTTTGACGAGAAGAAGGATGACCACCTTGAGACAAGAGGATTAGACACTTGGCCGTTTCTTCTTCCTCCTCGGTGGGGACATCCTCATCAGGGAAGTTTTCAGCTGAAGTGGCAAGAGGCTGACTAATATTATTGTCGTTATTGTTATTGTTGTTAATGATGGTGATCTCTCTACCATCTCCGCCATCATCATCAGTTGATGAATGCGCGGCGATGGTGAAAGGGATGGGAGATTGAGGCCTAAGACGTTTAGTGCGCTTGCCCTTAACAATGTGGGATAGGTCCTTAGAGACCCCTACCACTTCTTCTTGAGGAGTCTCCATCTATCTTCATCCACCACCAATATGTTAAAAACATGAAATTAACAAACAACAACTCCCCCCCAAAAGAAATGGAAGATTAAAAGGGTGGGGGGAGAATGAAAGAACAAAAGAGAAAAGAAAGAGAATAGAGAAATACTAGAGAAAGCGATGAGGACGGAGAGTGGAGGGTTATGAATACTTATATACCAAAATAGTGAAATGAAGGTTTTTAGAAGTCAAAGAAGAGACAGAGACCATTAATTATTAAATATATTTACTGAATTAGAATGATACTAACTGAAAGTGGCCACCTTCCAATCATTTGTGAGAAAGCAAAATGAGTGGGAGAAGAATTATAAGAGGGTGTCAAAACTTAAGTGATGAGAGAAACGTGGAGAAAAGGAGAGAGATTATTTATTACTTATTGCATTTGACTGAATACGAAGTTTAAAAGTTCAAATATTTATGTATACATTATACTTGACACATAATATAAGTAAATGGACAGCTCGGTGCTCGAAACATTCCGCGTTTACGTAGGGTTCAGGGCAGTGTCCACTCCAGGGGTGTGATGTAGGCAGCTTACCCTGATGTAAGCATTAATGGCTGATTCCACGGTTCGAATCCGTAATCTATAGGTCCCATGGAAACAAATTTACCGTTGCTCCAAGGCTCTCGTATGATATATTAATATAAGTATAAGTTAAAAAAAGTTAAGATATATAGATATCAAATTGGATCTCTTAAGAAGCATCTCATTAGTTAGTAATGTGATTAATTACTAAAATGGTAATGATAGGTTTCATGGACTTTAAAACCTCCCATTAATTCATATATTATATACAACTTTTACTCAGCAAGTCACCTCTTAGTTACTAGCTTACATCTCGTGCATGGCCAGCTTGACAATAATTAATATAATAATTTATAGCTGTTACTGAACCAATTATTTTGTTCCGTTGATTGTTTATTTGGATGGAGGACACCTGTATGGATCACACTGAGTTCCATTAGGGGAAATGTTGACATATACTCCTAGTAAGATAAGGTAGTACTATCAAATAATATTATAGTTCCAATAATCACTCTTAACTAGTCTAGCTAGAGTACTTGAATTGCATGGATGAAAAAGAAACTGTTTTTTTTTTTTTTTGGCTTAAGAAAGGAAAATGACAGAAAACTAAAGTATTTCATCAGGTCTATAATTATAGGTTTTTTAGCTACTTGTGGAGAAAAATATTTAAGTCTTAATCATAAGAATATAAAGGTAACTGGAACATAAAGGTAGACTGAAAAAAAAGTAATAAATGATTTCTCGTCTTATAAAATATCAAATATTTCGAAACAAATTTATTTTATCAAAACGACTAATATTGGGTAACAACTAGAAGAATTGAACCCCGGGCTAAAAATACCTTTTTAGCTTCCTTAATTTAATTTTGTTTTAAGAAAGAAACTTGTGGTATAGGATCACTTATAGTTCATGCATTTTCCAATTTTTAAAGCAGCTGGCAGAGGCGGATCTAGAATATTTAGTATATGGGTGCATCATTAAAAAAAAAATGTATTTAGTGGTAATTGATCCTTATACCTCTTAGTAAATAACTCAACCTTCAACCATTTGCACAATTCAACTTTTATGGAGCATGGGTGTCAACAGTTAATATTATACTAATTTTAAAAAATATATACGTAAAATATCTAATTTTACGAAGATAGCATGGGTTCACGTGCCCCGTAATTATACCTATATATCCGACCTTGGCTGGCAGTTCGTGAGTGGATCAATAGTACTATATATAAAATATATTACTATTCTTTTGGTAAGATATAAAGAGAGATAAAGTCAAAGGGCAAAGGAAGGCAAGTTCTTGTCATGAAAGCATTGAATTGTGTGTTTGTGTATTGCACGTAAGGAAAGTAGGTTTGGGAGACAAGCAAAAGATTCAGTTCATGTCCTTAACCCACCCTTCTTGTTATAAGCCACTTCTCCAATACTTTATCCTCGGCAGAGAACATAATCTTGTTATATATCCTTATTCATTGTTTTGGAATCATATCTATAAATTGAAATTGTTGAGTTAGCACTACTACTAGTTTTTCGGCCTGAGAAACCAAAAGTATATTGTTTTAAAAGAAGTGTTTATTTTAGAAAATGCTTGATCAAGCTTTTAGAAAGAAAAAAAATATTTTTTGGAACAATAGCTTAGCCGGTTTTTTCATAAGCTTAAAAAAGTAGTTTTTTCCTGGAAGCTGTTGGGATCAAACACGCATGCAAGTATATGCGATCGACAAATAATAAAGTGATAAAAAAGTATCAATGGACTTATGATTAACTATCATCTAAATTAAACTAGTGACGGGTTATTTGCTAAAGTGGTTGTGAGGAAGATAATTGTGGTTGTTATTGTAACTAAAATCACTATGAAAACTAACAAGCAAGCAAGAGACCAAGAACGCCAATAGAACACACAGACAATTAGGATCAAATTTATTAAGTTGGGCATATTCCGGGTTACGGGATTGATGTCTATCCTATTGAGTTTTTCAGATGATTTCACTATTTGATCTATCTGATTCGCTGATTAACATGGCTTATTTTGCTCTCGAGATTCTTTCGATGCCTTGCTCGTTTATTCAGGCCAAACTAATACTATATGTCTATAGAAATAAAATTAACTAGAACGCATGTGTACCTCCTACAATAATAACCAAGTAAGGCAACTAAAACATGTCTATCATGATAGCTCTACGCACAAGGATAAAGTTTTGGAAGCACCAAGAGCGCCATTCACAAGGTTTTAAGCTAAGGAAAAGTAAGACAATATTGCTGGGCTTCAAGAGAGATTAAGAAGGCGCTAATTGTGGAAGAAGAGCTCAAAACTTGTGGAGGTGTTGGATCACAGGATGTACAGCAGCCCAATCCATTACTAAGGAAGTCGACTAGAGTTGAACTGGCCCAACTAAAGCCTCCCTAACATATTTGTATTGGATTACTGTAACTTAATAAGATGCGGGTCCATTTGTAATTAGTGTGCATTTTTACTCATTTTGTCCAGACGGGGTTTACTATCCAATAAGAAAGAAAATCATTTTCCCCTATTTTTTCTCTTTCTCAAAACGTTAGAACTAGGGTTCGTCATTTACATTTTACCTTGATTCTGCTTCGATCCTTCATGTTTTCATGGTATCAGAGCCATCAATGTCTTCCTTAGATCATGGCCTTTCGAGCGATCCTACCATTGCCACTTGATTTTGCCGATTTCGTTTTCTTTGACGAGGCTGTGACGGTGCATTTTTGCTTCTTTTTTTTGGGTGGAATCTGTTCATTCTCGCTGGTGTTTCTTCCTTGTCCTCTGATTTTGATGTAGAAGGCTCCTGCTTTTCAAGTTTATTTTGAAGAAGTTTGGTAATATCTTCTTCTCCTCTCAATTTTTGTTGAACTGGTGAGCTGTCGTGTGTTGTTTCTCTGTGTGTTTAATGTCTCTTTGGCTTCTGCTCTCTGAAGTCTCTGTTACATGATTTTTATATTTTTGTTTGTGATTGTGATTTGAGACCTTAATTTTGCCCGTGTGTGCTTAAGTATGGGTTCTACTGGTGATTCTTCGACTACACCTACTAATCCGATTCTATCTCATACTTCCACTTCTGTTGAGCCGTCTCATCCATTGTACCTCTATCCCTCTGACTCTCCTAGGACTATACTTGTTTCCAGCACTTTCAATGGGTTGTGATATGGATGTTGGAGAAGAAGCATGTTAATAGGGCTATCCTGTAAGAATAAGTTGGGGTTGATCAATGGATCAGTTGCTAAGCCAAGTGCCGACTCTGTTTTGTACGAATGACTTAGTCACTGCGTGGATACTAAATAGCCTTGATACCGAGATTAGAGAAATCATAATGTACACTGAGTCAGCTCAAAAGTTGTGGAAAGAAATTGAGCAGAGATATGGTAAACCTAATAGGACTAAGGTGTTCCAAATCTTCAAGGACCTATCCTCCATTTCCCAGGGTTCTTCTTCTATTGCATCCTATTTTAATCGTATGAAAAACTGTGGGATAAACTTGCTTTCTCGATTTATTATCCAGAATGTGTATGTGGGTGCAATGAAGCTTTTCAGAAAATAGAAGAAGATCAAAAGGTTCATCAGTTATTAATGGGTTGAATGAGTTATATTCTGGAGTCAGAAGAGACATTCTTTTGTTGAAACCTTGACCTGATATTGATAATGTATATGCAATGCTAATTGAAGATGAGAGTCAGGTTGATATCAAACCCCCGAATTCTCCATTTCGTGCAGAATCTACATCCTTTTCTACTAGTATACGGAAACCCTTTGTATCATTTCCTACTGGCAAAGGCAGATTTATAGGTGTATTTACGGGGCACGTGAACCCGTGGTCTCTTTGTAAAATTAGATATTTTATGTACTTATTTTTTAAAATTGGTATAGTAGTAAATGTTGGCACCCATGCTTTCAGAAGGTTGAATGGTTCACTTGGTTTAAGGTTCAGTTATTTACCAAGAGGTATAGAGATCAATCCCCACTAGATACTTTTTTCCTCCTTTTTATAGGAGTGCACCCATGTATTAGAAATCTTAGATCCGACTCTGCCTATTGGTGCACAGAAAGCTTTCTTTCCTGGTTTTACTCAAAAGGTCAATATGGACAATTCGAAGAGGTCATGGTAATCTGATGGGCAAATACTGCAAAAACCTGGGGCATTCCATAGAAAAGTTTTATAAGCTTCACGGTTATCCTCCTGATTTTGGGTCGAAGTTCAGAAAAAATGCAGCTTGTGTCCAAGCCTCAAAGTCTCAATCTGTACGGGTTATGAGACTTCTTCTAGTGACTCTTCTAAAACCATTCCAGTTGATGTCGGGGGTCACCTGATGACTAAGGAGCAGTATGATCACCTTGTCTCATTGCTTCAACATTCTAGGGTCTCTTCTACTGCTCAGGAGTTCACCAATGGCTCTGCCAACTTCGCAGGTCTGTTAGGTAATTCTGATTTAAACAGTTGTGGGTTGTATGCTTGTAATTTTCTAAGATAGAGGATACTTTATGGATCATAGACTCTGGTGCAACAAATCACATGACTTCTCACAAGTCCTTGCTCACCGACATCAAACCTTTGCATATACCTTATC